GCTATGGCTTCTCTTCTCTCTCTCTCTCTCTCTCTCTCTCTCTCTCTCTCTCTCTCTCTCTCTTCGCCTTGCTTCTCTCTCTGACTTGGCTCGCTCTGCCCCACACCCTCTCGCTCTAACCTAGATCGTCACCCTGGATACACCCACTCAGGTATGCTTACACCTTGGCAGCTATGGCCGTCGTCCTCCTGCTCTACCCCTACCTAGCTATGGAGTAACTTGCGAGCGCCCTCTTCTTCATTGGGCGCGCAGTGCCCAAGTTGCCTTAATGCACAAGCAGCAGCAGCGCTTCCGCATCTTGCAACTGAACAAGTGATGAGCCGCTGCACTGTAGCACCTAAATATAGGACTTGGCTTGGCTTGGCTTGGCCTGCTTCAGACCGGTACTGGTCGGCCGCGGCCTGTCTGCTGCAAACATTTTGTCCGTCCGGTAGCTTCCGGACTTTCCTGGGACATGCTGCAAAATTGGACTTGGGGCTTTTGGACTTTTCTTGTCGGGTACCAGACGGACCCCTACCGACCTACGATACTTCGGTTCTGACTCTTACCGACCTACGACACTTCGGTTTCTGGACCCTACAGCCTACCCTACGGGACCGCCCTGGGACTTGGGACTTGTCGGGCCCCTGGGACCGGGACTGGGTGTCTGCAGTGTGAATCCTTTCAATGGCATGCCTTCCATCATATTCACTGTAGGCAACTGTAACAACTTAGGTATGAGCTGAGTGGATGGTGTGTTAAAGAAGGTGAAATAGTCAGGCACATCATTGTTATCGCAGCTTCCAGAACCAAAAGTTGCGGATAGTTTTGCTAACAACCTCTGATCTTGAAGAATTCTACATGGGTACTTTGCAATCGAAAGAGTAAGGGTGGGTGATATGAGCACAGTGTGTGTTTATCATACGTGGATTTCACCTCTGATCGTCCTCATCTTGTTTGTGGTTCAGTTTTTCTTTGAGAATGCTGTTTAGTTCTGTTGCCATCCGCCTGGATATAACGCACTGTCAAGTATGGGCATATGCTGGTGGGCATGGCATGACTTAGTAAACATGGTACTTACTCCTATCGTCCTCTGAATCAAATGCGCGGTCGTTCTTGCGTGTATCTTAGACGGAAAGTTGCCCCGCTATAATCTCTGTGCGTTCTACTTGGGGCTAAGACGGTAGTCCTACCTTAGGAGATTGCGAGGGACGGGAGTCCAGTGTCTTTTTTTTTTTTTTTTTCCAAAAAACAGAACCTTATGGTTCTGGCTCCTACCATCCAGTGTCATTTTTAGTTTCAGTCTGGGAGTGCTTTTGCTTTATTTCTATTTCTGATTACAGGCTGAGGTTGAATGAATTCTGGTTTTATGGTGAATTCAATGTGCATTTTTGAATTTTCAGAGCGAAAAGGCTATTTATGATGCTGCAGCAGCACAACAAAATGGGGTGGTGTGATACTCCAATGTAATGTTGAGCTTTTGATTTGCATGTGGGTTTATTCACAGCTTTATTGCTCTCTGCGGCGTTGCCACCGTTTGTGCCATGTTAAATATTTTTGTGAACTTTTGTGTCTACTGTCCTTCTTGTCTCCCTCCTCCTTGTCCTCCTTGTCCTCCTCATCCACACACCTGTGCCCTTCTCTTTCCAGATGCACCAACGGTTGAGCTGGAAGAAGTCTGTCTCATGATGCAAGAGTGCATGGCGCTGCGAGAGAAGTATGTGTTTCGAAAGAAGGTTCCGCCATGGCACAGTGAAATTGTCGACCCGTCGACTCCTCGCCCTGTCAAAGATATTTTCCATTTCACTCCTGAACCGGCTTCTGATGTAAGTGCACTTTCCTTGACACCCACCCTTTTGCCAGTCGTCTTTTCTTTTACCTCGCCTTCCTTGGCCAAGCGCTCTATCCTCAATCGTTTCCTTTTTTTGCCTTTTTTTCCGCCTCCTTGATCGTATTCCTTGTCGTCGGCTACTGATTTTCCTGACTGACCACTGCATTTCTTGCTAACCCTTTCCCTTCACTCTTGTTAGTGTCTCTGAAAATGTTTCGCTTCGAGCCAGGGCTTGATACCTCGGCCTCTACCTTACCCTGCAGTCCTCATTTCAGTGAGCCCCAGATAACGCTGCACTCCTGCTCATGCTCAGATTGCCTGCAGTGCACCTGTTTGCTTGCTGGGCATTGGTTGTTGCCTGCCCTTAGCATTGTCTGGTTTTGCACTCGGGATTCGAAGTGCTGCCTGCTCTTTTGCAGCAGATCCGAACCTGCTGCAGCCAGTTTGACTACGGTTCAAAATGGCCGGAGTGCAGTTTCGACATCATCTTGTGCTGAACACTGTGTCTTCTCAAGCAATTGAATGACTCTATCAGTCTATTGCAAGGAATATGAGCGAGAGCGATAGGCAGAAAACCCAAGTTGCAAAATCAGGATTTTGTCCAGATAGTCATGTACCAAGCAGAGAGCACAAATGCACCAAGAGACCATCCAAATAAGAGCAATGCAATGAACTCGTGTGCCAATGTCAACATTCTCTGGCCGCACCAACACAGTATCCAATGTTGCTCCTACAGTCTGGCGCTCAGCTCAGCCTATCTATCCTATCTACGTTCACGCAACCGGATCACTTCGACGCTGAAGACCAATGTACGTGACGTCAACACCAATGCAGACCGCCAAGATACACCAGGTTTGTTCTCTCCTCCGCTCATCACACCTTGTCTCCCCTCTGCATGCGCCTCCTACCTGAAGACCACCTGCCTGCATCCCCTGGCAGCCTGGCTATGGTCGCCGTGCACCCACTGCCTCAGCAGCACCCCTCTCACCTCAGCGCCCGTGTGCGCGTCTGGCCTGCAGCACTAATGCAGCTACTCGTTTGCGAGTGCAGCAGCATGGCCGCATTGCCCACCAAGGCCAGAATACCCTCCTCTGGGGCACACAATTTCCTTTATGGAAAGTGTGCCCGCTGCTGGCTGCCTGGCCGGGTGTTACATACTGCATTCCACATGGGCCCTTTCAGGCCCGACGACTAGGCTGAGGGGTTCCGAGGGCCTGGACACGATAATCCAGGCCAGTTGGGCCGGACCTTTTAGGCCGCCCTTTTGGCCTTGCGCAACTGGTTCGGGAAATGGCCAAACGTTTTCCTTTGGACCAGGCCGCCGTTCAGGCAGCCTGTTTCCCGAAAACCGGTCCGACCTGAACCACGGAATCGGACGATAGATAGGACGGTTCAGATCGGAGGCCACCTTGGGAAGCAGAGGCCGAACTGGCCGCCGGCCGGTATTTAGGCCCATCCAGCAGCCACTTCAGGGAGGAGGACGGCAGCATTGAGGAACGAACCGCTGCGCTATTACTGTTCCAGCGCAGCGCTAGACAGCAGCGCTAGGTGTAGCGCTGGCTGTGGAGGGAGAGAGAGAGAGGAGGGAGACTTACCTGACAGCAACTGCGAGCGCCATAGCTCCCAGCAGCACAGACGTCTCCTACAGAAGCCAAGGCTCCACCTTGTACCACCAGGTAGGGCCTAGGGCTACTCGCCATCTCCGCCAATGCTCTGCCCCTCTCAGTTCTTCTTCTTCTTCTTCTTCTTCTTCTTCTTCTTCTTCTTCTTCAGACTTCTTCGTTTTCTTCTTCAGACTGGAGACTATTGATACGAGTTGGACAGAGATCAGTGATTGGACTTCGGTGGAAGGAGGATGTGATACTTACCGGACCCGAGACATTGGCGATAGTTGGGATTGATACCTGGTGGCGTCGCAGATTGGACATTGGTTATATTAGGATTCTGTACCTCCGACTTTGGTGACTTGTGTCATCGGCGTTCTGATTTTTTTCAGTGACATTTTGGGCAACTATATCGGTGACATTTTGGATTCTATTTCGGTGACATCTGGCGCTGTCCCTATCTCCCACCTCTCCTCCCACCATTCATCTGTATATGGGTGTACGGGCCTGAAGCATCGTCTATGTATGGCTTCAGACCCCACCATCTCACGATTGCTTGTGTGTCGAGTGATGTGTAGGTGAGTTCCGTCTATGTGAGTCAGTCCATATCTCAGACTTCCGCTGCATATATGCTCATCCCACATTGGTTGATCTTTGGTTCTGCCCATACTTGGTGAAGTTATTCACTAGTATGCAACACCAGGTGTGTCGGGGGGCCCAGTAGCACAACTCTGGCCCCAAGTGTCTTCTCCCAGGCCCAGTTTCAGATACTGGCCTGGGCCTCGTGCAGTTAGGCACGTTCAGGCAGCCACCCAGCCTCAAAGTGTTCGCAGCATTCTCATGGGCTCGCGGTGTACGGTGAAAGATTGCAGAGCATTCCGAAAACTTAAAAGTAGTTTCCCCAACATGAAATCAACGGAACCAAAGCACTGATGAGTCGGTGTACAGCGGAACCTTTGTGAGATTGTATTACAAAACGAGTTTGCGAAAGGAGTGTTTCCTGTGATTTCTTGGACGGAGCAACTCTGCTGACGAGCCCGTCGGATTCAGACGCGAAGCGTCTGCTCTTAGAGGAAACAAAGCATGCCATAAAAGCACATTCATAGAGGGCATGTCTTGCTGCACTTCGTGCCTGGAGCTGTGATGCAAGCCCCCTGGCGCTTATACGAGATGAGGCGGCTCGAAGAGTGGTCGTTTTCGGGGAAGCATACCCTGCAGCCCTTCGGCCTTGTGCACTTGGGGCAGCACGCGAATGCACGCTGGCCTTCGGCCCTCTGCCTGCTGTTGGTCAAAACCAGCAAGGCCTTAGTCGGAGTGGTGAAATACTACATGGGGGCAGATCACCTATCGTATTGGGGACAGACGACTAAACGACATCAGCCTATAGGTGATACTGGCGAGATCCAGACGACAATGCTGCTCTCGCATTGGCCCACGGCCAGTCCGTGATGTGTTGGCCTCACACAGTATGTGCCCAGGGTGCAACCGCCTGAGCCCTGGGGTCAACTGTACAGCGAGAGCCTGGAGGCTCACGTTGCTCTGTAACCAACTGGCGTGTTGAAACTGTCTGATTGCCCACATATGGAAAAATGGCGAAAATAGGCCTCACGTGGATATTCAGGCCCGACTTCACTTAGGGTGGGCACGTGGTTGCTGGGGGCTGCAGCCCAGAACACTTGCATGTCTGATAAGGGCCCCGCGAGGGCTCATTCCTTGCACTATTATATGATATAAAAAGTAAGTTAGAAGTAGGTCGCAAAATTGACATAGAGTTTGTTGCTGGTATTCCTCACAGGGAACTTTGGTTTCTCATACGATTGCCATTTAACGTCGAAGCGTGAGCATGTGGGTGTGCACTCTCTTCGTCCTCATCCACTGTGACACTAGATCTCTTCCGTGATCGTCGCGGTGTACACGAGCGCTCAAACTTTCAATTTTCTTTTCCCCTTTTCTTTTTCTTTTGGCACTCTCACTTTCCGTGACCGTCCATCATCTTTATCCAGTGTGCAGGGTACTTTTCACCCGTACCGTCCTAATTGTGGTATTGACGGAACAGATGCGACATTGGCTTTGGAAGGGAGCGGACAAAAATGGCTCAGTGTTACGGTAAAGGAAACGGCAGTCAAATAAAAAATGATATACGGTTTGTCTTATTCTTAAAGGGTAGGTGCTTCATTTTTCATTTTCAGAGGTTGCACTTATAAAAAATGATATACAGTGCGACTTGTTCTTAAAGGGTAGGTGATTCATTTTCAGAGGTCGCACTTATCTAAGACTGATCAGGTGTCGTCTTTCGCATAGTTCCACTGTTATTATGGTAAAGGAAACGGCTTGCCGACACGTTTTCAGAATTCATTCCTGAACCTATGTTTGCCTAAGTTTCCCATATGTGCTGCTGACGCGGTGATGGATGCCAATGCCTAAAGGAAACGGCTTGCCGACACGTTTTCAGAATTCCTTCCTGAACCTGTGTTTGCCTAAGTTTTCCATATGTGCTGCTGACTCGGTGATGGATGCCAATGCCGCCCGCGTGTGCAGCACTTTTTCAAGATGGAGAATGGAGTGGTTCATGTCTTCGCCAACAAGGATGGTAATTAATTTTCCCTCTTTCGCATCCTGCACTTTGGGTATATCTGTGCACTAGTTCTTCCCATCCTCTCTGCCTTACTTCCCTTTCCCCGTCCTTTCTGCTCTCTTCGACTCTTCCTCTCTTCTTCCTCGTCTGTTTGAGCTATTATTTCTCTGCGCTCCTTACCCCCAAACATGGTCTTCTTGCAACCCCCTCTATGTGCGCTAGTCCATTGCTTACTGCCTGCTTGCCTTCCCACCAGCTTTCCTCTGTGCGCTAGCCTCTTTCCGTGTGCTTGCTTGCCGACCTCCTCTTGTGTGTCATCCTCCTCCCAACATGCAACCCCATCTTGTGTGTCATCATCCTCCCTCCTCCCTGCTCATGCCAGCCTCTCCCTCTGGGTGCTAATGTTGCCAGATATGAATGATGGTAGCCTTAGCCCAGCTTAAAAAACTGGCTGCTGATTGTCACACACTCAGAGGAGCAAGGAAGCATGGAAACCACAACTCCGACAGCTAATGGGCCTTGCTCCACTACTCTTCACGTGGACAAAAGAGAAAAAGAATATGGCGGTGTATCTTTCCAGGTTCTAGCAGAAGATTCATTCTCGTTTTGCACATTTCGTGAGTAATAGAGTGAGGGCCAATGTGTATCAAGGGCGAATGGGGAAGGGAACAGATTCAGATGAATTCGGGCTATTGGATTGAGGCCATCAATTTGATAGTAGCTGAACGAAATAGCACTAGTAGTTGGTCTATGTAGAAGTAAACAAAAATAATGATGATATAGTGAAGGGTTAAAAATGCAGGAAGACTAGCGCAGAAGTTACAAAGAAAGAAAAGACTGGGGGTGGGGGGTGGGAGGTGGGGGGTGGGGGAAAGGCAGCAAGGATATGTATGTTATTGTAGTTGAGATGAACAACTAACACGTGATTGCAGTTAACGTGACCAGTGCCTTTTTATCATATCTTTTGTCTGTTCCTGTAATTGTCAGCCTCTCCTCTCCTATATAACTTCCTCATCTGCTTTATAAACAGCCTTCAAGTTTTAAGCTCCCCTTTGCATCACCCTTTGCCGACCCATGATGTCGTTCCTCACTAATAGATTCCATGGTCTTCTTTTTTTTAATGCATGGTCATCATAGCTGTTTTAGGGGCAACTTTCAGTCCAGATATAACACGAATGACCGTGCGTTGTATATGGGGGACTGCGGTACGTGTTGTGACTCGTGAGTTATAATGCCATTCTTAATGAATGCAGTATTAGGATCAACCTTCAGTCCAGATATAACACGAATGACCGTGCATTGTATATGGGGGGCGGCGGTACATGTGGTGAGTTATAATGCCATTCTTAACGAATGCAGTAGTCTTGAGGCTTCCGCATGTTCTTGTCATTTGCCTTCTTGCACATGGTTGATCTCACTGCCTTCCCTTGTGTCTCTGCCCCTTTGTCTTCGTCAACCTTTTGGTGAACACGATTCTTCTCTTTTTGTCTATTACTTTACTTTTTGTTCCTCATGTCACCCACCTAAGGAATGCAAAAAGCTTTATTTGTAGGAATTAACCCATGCACAATGACAGACACATGTGATTGTTGATGCACAAACCCTGAGTTTGAGTCCTGAGGATACTTGCGGTGCATTCAGTTGCGTGGCCCTGCGCATGTGCGCCGCACCGTGCACCACGAACAGCGCATGATGCGGCGCACCTGGTGCGCCGCATTTAAAAAATAATAATAAAAAAAGAAATCAGAAAGGATAGGGCGTGGTACCTGTAAGTGTCCCTCCCTTAAAAATTGTAAGTGCACAGAAAGAGAATATTTTCGGGCCTCTTCGTAATACTCGTTGGTATTGTTCTCCTTTCCAAAGGGTTCCCTGCTGAGAATCAGCATGGATCCCATTCATTTGGAAGGGCGTTCGTTGCACTGGTGGAAGAGCACGAGCAGGCCAGCAATATATATTATATCTGGATTCGGATTCTGGTCTGTGTTCCAAGAGTTATGGGTTACGAACTTACTACGAAGTAGTACAAACACTACAGTAGCTGTCTCGTTTTTTTGTTTTTCCTTTTCTTACGTGCAGTGGCATTACGGGCCTCGCTCCACTCATCAGCACTTGCAGAAAATAAAAACGTATGGCTTGTATGGTTCCAGTTTATAGGAGAAGGTTCATTCTAGTTTTGCACATACAGTAGCTGTCTCGTTTTTTTTGTTTTTCCTTTCTTTACGTGCAGTGGCCCTAAGGGCCTCGCTCCACTCATCAGCACTTGCAGAAAAGAAAAACGTATGGCTTGTATGGTTCCAGTTTCTAAGAGAAGATTCATTCTAGTTTTGCACATTTGGTGAGTAGTGGAGTGAAGCCCTGAAAATCGCATGCCGAGTTAGTAAGTCAGTAACCCATAACTGCTGAAACACGGACCTGAATTCGAAGGTACAACATATATAGCTGGCCTGCTCCCTCGTTACTACAAGTCCAGTGACGACCCGTCCAGTGACCACCCTTCTCCTGCCGTTGGGACCCTTGCCAATTTTTGGCAGGGACCTATTGAAGTACTGGCAGGGGTTGTCTGAATAATGTGAAAGGGCTCTGTGCTCTCTCTCTCTCTCTCTCCCCTTCTCTCTCTCTCCCCCCTTCTCTCTCCCTCTCTCTCTCTCTCTCCGGTGTGTATACACATCATGGTTGCTTCTTCTTCTTCTTTTTTTTTTTCTCTTTTTTTCGGGGGGGGGGCGCACATCTGCGATTTGCGCATGGCGCACCGCGCAGCCCACTGCGCAGTGCACTTCGTCTACGCGCCGCAAGTATGGTCCTGAGGGATATAATGATATTACTGGTTAATCCCCCTTAAAAGTTAGAGGAGGGCGATGAAAAGGAAGCTGTAACATGAGTGTGCGGATTCGACAGCCTTGTATCGCTATGGAAACATGAAAGAAGAAGTATAGGCCGAGTGAGAAAGCAATCTATCGTATGCACGCACTCCAGGCTACTGGCTCAAAACTTCCGTCACGCTCGACTGCTCACTAGTAAGCAGCTACTCTCTTCCCCTACTGCATGTGCAGTGCCAAGTTCTATGTCCTCCTCTCTCTCTCTCACCCCCCTCCGCCCCTCTTTCTCTCTCTCTTTCTGTGGCTTTGATTGTCTGTCTGTCTCTCTCTGTGTGACATTTTCCCCTGTTGGGAATGACAGCAATTAGCAAGATGTTTTCCCTTAGCAAGACTCCAAACGCAGGAGGTCAAGCCAAACAACTTTTTGCTCCCTTGCCCTCGCTTTCACTTTCACTCCTTCTCCCTCTCCCTCTCCCTCACTCCCCCTCAAGTCCCTCGCTCTCCCCTATCTGTCTGTCTCTCTCTGTGTGACATTTTCCCCTGTTGGGAATGACAGCAATTAGCAAGTTGTTTTCCCTTAGCAAGACTCCAAATGCAGGAGGTCAAGCCAACTTTTTGCTTCCTTGCCCTCACTTTCACTTTCACTTTCACTCCTCCCTCTCCCTCTCCCTCACTCCCCCTCAAGTCCCTCGCTCTCCCCTATCTCCCTTACTCTCTCCCTCTCTGTCACTCTCCGTCTCCTTTCTCTCTTTTTCGTCCTTTCGCTTATTCAGCGGAGGATCTCTGCCTTGTTTCTTTGTCATCCTTGCGGCCATGTCATGCATCCCTGTTCTTCTGCTCCCCTCCCTTGTTGCCGCTCTATTTCCTCCGGCTCTCCTGTATATGTGCTGTCTTTTAAACCCTCTCAAACTCGTCCGACCAGTGTCTGTAATGAGGTGGAGTGCAATGGTGGTATTGTGTCAGCAAGCCGCTGAACCCACTTCACAAAGTGAAACCAGAAATAGAAAAAAAAGTATAGTCCTTGCCTTCTTTTTCTTTTTTGTCATGGTGGTGAATAGAGGTTGCTGTTTGAAACAACGCGTCACATCTCTTTGGACACTAGATTTTCAAGTATTTATCAGGGAGCAACTCACCAACGTTCATTTTAATGTATCGTTTCGACTTTACATCATGAAGTTCTCATTGTCGCTTGTTGTTCCTTTGTCTTGCAGCGACCGAAGAGCTTTTTCCAGTATATGATGGAACCGCGTTCTTCACCGATATGCACCGCATCTTGAAGATAGTCAGCACTGGTGCAGTGAAGTCTTTCTGTCATCAGAGGCTTCAGCTGCTGGAACAGGTAGCATATCGTGGAGTGTGTTTTTTGAGTGTCTGTGTGCTAAATTTTGTCTGTTTGCCCTTATATAGTGTATTGTGGTGTGTTTTTTGAGTGTGCTGGAACAGGTAGCATATTGTGGAGTGTGTTTTTTGAGTGTCTGTGCGCTAAACTTTGCCTGTGTTGCTCTTGTATACTCGTTGGGGATAATCGTTTTATAGCATACTCCCCCTCCCCCCCGGCCCCCCCTTCCTTGTAGAAGTTTGCAGAACCTTATAGGGGGATTATTGGGGAAAACTACTGTCTTCTGAACTCCTTATCGCTTTTGGTCTTTGGTTTACAGTATGCCTAGCACATTAAGAATTACATCCCTTGGAGAAGTGATTCGGGTGGGGAGTGCTCTCTTCCCAGCCCGCGCCAGGTGTTAGCAGCTGGGGGTACTGTTCCCTGCATAGACCAGGATTAGGATAGCTTAGGACTAGTTAGTACATTTCAGGCTGCAGCTGTTTGTCCTGAATACATGTGATCTATCTGCCTTGTAGAGCTTGTGGGTGGGGCATTCATGCGAAAAAAAAAAAAAAAAAAAAGAATCAGGTGGGGAGTAGTGACTGGCCTATCTCAGTTGGTACACCTCCTGAACGGTTGCAATGCAGACCCACTGAGTTTGAACTGCACTGGAAGCAGATCAGAGTAACGTATTGCAGTTCTGAATACATAGGGCGGGTGAGTTTGATAAGTATATCTCAAGGCGGTCGCCCTTTATAAGAAAAAGAAAAGGAAAAAAAAAAAGGGTGGGGAGTAAAACAAAACAAAACAAAGCAAAACAAAAAGAATGAGGTGGGGAGTTAGTAGGTTCTGTAGAAGTATGGAAAGTAACGGTGGCTGGGAGACTGTGATTTGGCCTTCTTGTGGGAACGGAAGCATGATTTGGTTAAATTGAAGCCTAGAGGTATACATAATGAGGTAAAAACTGTGGACTATATTGAAGCTTAGAGCTATGCATAATAACGAGGTAAAAAACTGTTTGCTCACAGGTATTTCGTGACATGTATCTGTGCAGTAGTACTGTATTAGGGCAAACTCACACCAGGGCTTCTGTTGGGTGTACCTGATCGCAATTCCTGTCAGATTCGCTCCCAGAGGTGCTAGTGTGATTGTATGGCCTTTTGGTCACTGCTTGATGATGTCTAAAAGGAGAAACAGGCTTGCTGTGGAGTAGTATTGCATTAGGGCATACTCATTAGGACTTCTACTGGGCGTACCCGACTGCGATTCCAGCCAGATTGTCCCAGCGGTGCTGCTGTCAGAGTATGGCCTTAGTCATTTCTTGATGGCATCGAAAAGTAGTACTGTGTTTGGGCATTACTCACCTGGGACTTCGACTGGGCATACCTGACTGCAATTCCAGCCAGATTCTGTCCCAGAGGTGCTGGTGTCAGAGTATGGCCTTGGCCTTAGTCATTTCTTGACGAGGTCTAGAAGCGAAAACAGACCTGGTAGGAGATCTGATGACAATCCAAGCCAGCGGGCTTTCTTTCTTGGTTTCTCGCTCCACTTTGTTTTGAATCCCTCAACCCTGTGACATGTCCTAAAAATGTTTATGGCAGACATCGACATCTTTTGCCCAAGGAGTCTGATCATGTGTTCTTTTCTCTTGCTGTTTGCTGTGTGGGGAAACGGCCAATTTTGTTGCAATGGGGGGGTGGAGTGCTAAGCAGAAATTTAGCCTCCATTTGATGCTGAATGCAGACAGGGAGTTCCTTGCGCAGAAAAGTGCACCACATCGTGACTTCTACAATGTGCGCAAAGTCGATACCCATGTTCATCATTCTTCGTGTATGAATCAGAAGCATCTCCTCCGGTTCATCAAGTCCAAGCTGAGGAAAGAACCTGATGAGGTATTGCCTTCGCTTTCAGAAGAAAACTGTGCTACCCTACCCTACCAATGACAGCTTCCGTCTTCATCCGAATAGAACGCCCGGTCATTATAGCCGTATGTGGTGTGACTTTCAGTCGAGATACAGGAAATAATTACCTGGCGTTCTATTCGGGTGGAGACGGTAGGGAACTCCAACATTTATTCATCAAACGATATGTGTAACCCAATACCTTCCCACTTCCGTACATTGAAATTGAGCCCAATACCTTCCCACTCCTGAAAAGGTCATCCTCCATACATTGTGTAACAATTTTCAAGAAAGCAGTCTCAAGAGAAAGGATTCACAACCCAATACCTTCCCACTCCTGAAAAAGGTCATCCTGCATAACAACGATATCAATATACATTGGAATTGAAGTCTCCCATCAGACAAGGAACATAACGTAGAAGTTGTCTATTCTCCAGGAACCTAGCAGTTGTCTATTCTCCAGGAACTGCAGCATATCTTCTCCCCGAGTGTTTTGCAATCAGCTACGACTCTCCCACAGAGCTATAGAGCAACAGTGCCAAAAGAGTTGTTTTGCGACATCGGCCAGCCTCCAAGGTCTAAAGAAGCTCAAAGGCTAGCACACATGGAGAGTGCTTGGTCGCCCAAGGCGATCGGGTGAGTCGCAATCAGCGAGCTCCACCCTAGTCAGGCAGCTCTTCCCCATTCACGTCACATTCAAGCCTGTGGAAGGCATGTCAGATTTGCTGGGCTCTGAATTCCACAGGAAAGTGTTATGGAATGCTGCTATAACAGAATACACTGACCTGATGGAGGACCTACCACTTACTGAAGACTATGTCAAATTGCGACATCGGCTTGACGACCTGTCAGAATGTGAGAGTCGTGATAACTGTAGAAGAGGAGTTTCCATTTTTTTTTTTGTTGGTTGAGGTTGTAAGGTGATGAAGATGAGGAGGCCGAGGAGGAGGTGGAAGTGATGGCCACTCAATCGTCTTGATGACTTCACGATCACGCCTACCCTCTCCTCCGCGGGGAAGTGACCCAAAAGCACAGTAAAAAATAAACCTGGCTCCTGAGGGATGTGGGTGATGTGTGTGCATCTGTGTGTGTGTGTATACATAACTCCATGAAACAAGCATGACTGTGCCACACTGTTTCGTTGGACTTTCACCGGCTCATGTGCGTGCATCTGCGTGTGTTGTGTTTTGCTGCGATCAGGTGGTCATCTTCCGTGATGGGAAGTACTTGACTCTGCGAGAAGTGTTTGAAAGCCTGGATCTCACTGGGTGGGTATGCGAATGCTATGCATCTGTATGGGTCTTGTGTGCTGCATCTGTCACTCTCGTGGCTTTTCTTGGGATTTGGGTAACACATGGAGCACAGAATAACAGGGTCCTCGTTTGGTGATGCTTCGGAGAGTTCTCTATGTGTAGGTGATGATGCTTTGGAGAGTTCTTTTTCTGTCAGTTTAATGTGTAGGTGCATTAGCTTGAAGATCGAATGGGTAGCTCGCTACGGCAGATGTGGGCCCTGTCAAAGACACCTCTAGCCCTGTTTTGAATGCGCAAGAGACCAGTTGTCCGCGACATTGTGATCATGTCTGCCAAAGTAATGTGCTGAAAATGATGATTACTATGCTGTCCAAAGTTCTCCTCGCCACATGTAGTCCCTTTTCCCTTTTTTTTCTTTCTGTCTGTTGTTTTCTCGTCTCTTGCCTCTACATTGCCTCAGTCTGTATTTCTCTCTTCCCTGGGTCTTCTCTCAATTGCCATGGAGCTGGGCTTTTTGTTGCTCTGTCTCCGTTCCCTTCCGCTCTCTCCGTTCCTTTTCTATTTGCTTTTCTTTTCTTTTCTTTCCGAAACAGGACTCGTCTCCTGACTCCATATCCTTTCTGGGGATCATCGTTCGAGTGCCTTTTCCACTGGCAAGTCAAGGAGCAATGCATCCTCTGAAACCCCATGCTTTCTTCCATTAAGGCCGAAGGATCTTGAACAGCGTTGATTGCTCCAGCTGCTGGAGGATTAAATGTGCGATAGCGTGATCTACCTAAGGTCCTCTCAGTCTTGCTGGGACGGTCGGATATGCTTTGGAACCGAAAACCTCCGAAGGACCAGACCGGACCGGATGACGGGTCTTCTGTTGCTCATTCCATCACCGATGGAAGGTCTTTCTCCTGCAAGTTCCACTCCGGCTCGAAGCCGCCTTCTCTGCTGGCTTTGGGTTCATTTGATTGACAAGCGGGCTTACCTTTTACGCAGAAACTCGACCCCTTTTGCTTCCCATTTTGTCCATTTCAGTCTGTCTCATGTTGTAGCAATTTTATCTCGAAGCAGCCTATTTTTGCAAAGGCTTTCTCCTTGGCTTTGAAGCAGTTCGGACTGTCGTTGGTGAGTTCCTTGATTTGTATTCCATCTGTACCTGAACTTCGTTTTCCCCACACCATGCTAATCAGCTGTGTCGAAGCTGCTTTCTTCTCAGTCGTTTCAAAGTCAATGGTCTGATGCCTCTGATCGCACCTTTTCCTCCATGTGGTCCAAAGAGTGTTTTTTCTGAGCGGAAGGTGAAAGCATCTTCGATCGGTCCTCCTCGGAAGTGATGGGAAAGGTTAATGGGTAAAAGGGTTCTAAGGGCAGAGATTCTTTTCCCCTTTGGTTTTCATTTTCTGTTCCCCTCTTCCCTTGTCCTTCCTGTGTTCATTCTGAAGTCGTCTGATGTGTGTTTGAGTGAAGGCGGAAACAGATTGGAAACGATGGATGGTAATCCCTTTGAGATCGAAAAGCAGCAGGACCTGACCGATGGCACCTAGGGATTTGGGGATTGAGATATATCCAAACTTCTCCAAAGGGAAAGGGGAGCATAGGGTGATGTGTTCGCGCCATGTTTGCTGTCTTCGGGCAGGCGGCGTTTGTGGGCTTGGCAGGAGTTTCATTTGTGACTGAAACTGCTAGTACACGGCTCCAACCTTGCTGAAAATGAACTTGTTACCCATCCGAAAATTTTGCACCTCGGGCCTACCAGACAACAACGGTTGGCGGCGCCAGCCAAAAGAAAAAGAAAAGTCGACGACAGGCGGCTCAACAAAGCTTGGCGCGCAGTGGAGCGCCTCCAGGCCTGGGTGTACTGATGGTTTAATAGAGCATGTGCATTTGTCTGTTTCTTATACTTTGCCGGGTGTGGTCCTAACAACTGTGTTCTTCTGTCGTTCTTGAGTAATTTTTGTTCCTGTGGACTGTCTGTTGGGGGGATTGTCTGTTCAGCTTGCTTTCAGCGAAATCCATATTGACTATCACTGAGTCTTATAACGTTTTGCGAGGATTCAAACCGGTTCATGTTGTTGATGTATGACCCTGACTTTTAGCATCCAATCATCTGTGTTCATTGTGAGGCGAGGTTTGTTACATGTGGATTCATTGTGGAATATGAAAGCTGTGGTCATGGCTGACGCGAAGTGGTTCGTGCTGTGGAGAAGGTAATCGCGACTGATTTGATCTTGTGGTCCGTGTTTCATCTGGTTTGTAGGTATGATCTCAATGTGGATCTGCTGGACGTTCATGCCGACAAGACCACATTCCATCGCTTCGACAAGTTCAACTTGAAATACAATCCTTGTGGGCAAAGTAGGCTGAGGGAAATCTTCCTAAAGCAGGACAATTTGATCCAGGGTGAGTTTGCTGCTTATGGGACAAAATCCTCCCAAGCGGAGAATGAAATGATACTTCCACTTGCTTTGCCAAATCATTCACGCCTGGAGGATGATGGGCATGATGTGATGGAGGATTCCTAGCGAGCAGTGTGTCACATGTCAGACTCTGTGGTATTGGAGTCATGTTTGTTGCTCTGCTGTCCTTCTCAAGGGTTGTGAAGCAGTACGCTCTACTCAAAATCTGCATCTGGACAAACTTGCATTTGGATAACGGCGGTCTTAATCTTGCACAATTATTGGATCAATTTGTAGCTCCGCATTCAGCGCCGGTTCAGAAAAAAATTGCCCCAGACTCGGAAAGTGACTGTGGGCGATGAGGCCATGGTGTGAGTCTTGCGTGCTGCAGATGCGCTGGAGGACTGTTTTTGCTGTTTGGGTGGTCAGGGTTTTTTTATGGTGTCTGGAGGGCTTTCACAATAGGAATGGATGGATGGAGATGCCAAGGGCCATTCCGGCACTGAACCTCAATGATGGATTGCTGTGAAATGTGCACTGGTATCTTGTGGTGGTTTCCTCCTGATAAACAGTTTGACTTTTCCTGTTATGTCTACCTGTTGGAGGGCAAATCGGTCAGTTTGTCACTGCTACATCTATCCTCTGCTATGTCTATCCTGTTAGTTCTAAGCTGCCTGCTGGTGAAGAGGAGGGCTTTGACTTGTACTGTTCCTTTACTGCACCTTGGTGATAGATTGCAGGTAGACTTGGCTCTTGTGGTCAAGGTCGCCGGTTCGAATCCGTGCTTGCATGTAGAAGGTCTGAGGCCGAGATGTACGGAATATAACTGCTGTCGAATGCGCCCGTGGAACTTGCGGCCAGAGATAAGTCCCGTTTGAGTGACCGGGTATAAAGTACCAGTGGGGGGGTCTCGTGCTGATTGGAGCGAAGTGTGTGAGAATTGCCGCGTCCGTGTGGTGTTGTGTGTGGTGTTGTGTGTGGTGTTGTGTTGAGTGTGGACACTACAGCCTTGCAGGGGTGGAGTGGATATCACGATTGGTATTGCTCGACTTTTGTATGTTTGCATGCTTGGGTGACCCTCCGTGAACATCTATTGTGCAAGCAGCCACCCTTGTGTTGTTATGTTTGTGTGCTTTGGTGACCCTCCGTGAACACCTATTGTGTGAGCTTCTGCTGCGTGCACGTGAAGTGCTGGGTTTGACCAGTACTATGGCCAGAGCAGCTTTGTCATGTTTCCCTTTCGGTGAGTGTCTGTGGTCTGGGAGTGTGACCCCGCTATGTGGCAATCTTTATGTGAAGGGCTCCGTGGACAATTCCCTGGTGGTTCCAGGTGGCACCGAATGGAGGTTTTAACTTTCTAGTCGTTCCTGAACGGAGTGAGAGCAATTGCTGGTATTGTATTTCTCTGGCTGAACTGGACCTGTCGAGTTTTATTTGGCGTGCTGTACATTTGCTCTTGAATACATTTGAGCTAATCTAATCCGCTACTGAGATATTTTGATGTACTCGGGCGTGTTGCTGCAGGACGTTTCCTAGGAGAGTTGACTCAGGAGGTTTTCTCAGATCTAGCTGCAAGCAAATATCAGGTAGGTAGTGGACATGCGTAAACCCACTGGTAGGCTGCGTGTCGTGCTTTTGTGAAACCCATTACTGTTGATTCATACCCATTACTTTTGATTGATTTGATGGGACCAGTATTATGTTTCTTCTTTCGCTCTCCATTGTTGTTGCTTGAAGGTGCAATGTGGAGTAATGTGAGCAGAGGCTGTGTGGTGGTCGTGCTACCTACTTTTGAATCTCTGTTGTATTCACTTCACTTGTATGTTTCTTCTTTCTCTCTCCAGTGTTGTCGCTTGAAGGTGCAATGTGGAGTAATGTGAGCAGAGGCTAAGTGTGGTGGTCGTGCTACCTACTTCTGAATCTCTGTTGTATTCACTTCTTGTATGTTTCTTCTTTCTCTCTCCAGTGTTGTTGCTTGAAGGTGCAATGTGGAGTAATGTGAGCAGAGGCTAAGTGTGGTGCTCGTGCTACCTACTTCTGAATCTCTGTTGTATGCGCTTCTTGTTGTATGCAGTTCTTGTTGTATGCACTTCTTGTTGTATGCCAGTTGTGCCTTGACTGGAATACCCGCCAATAGGCACACAAATTCACTCTTGTTATGCTAGGCGAGTCATGACGTGGTAGTGGTGGTGGTGGTGGTAGCAGAACAAAAGCAGGTAAAAAACGTATTGAGATGATGATGGTGGTAAATCACTACCTGCACGACATTGCATGCATGTTGCCCTGTGCTGCCGACATGCGGCCATTGATGTTCTCGTGCTGCAGTCATGGTGGTAGAGACTGTGGTAGTATTGGTGGCGTCAGTGGCAATTCTAGTACAAGAAACCATGGGGGAAAGTGCTGCTGCTCCGGCTGTGCTAACGCTGACCCTGTTGACGATGATGACAACGATGATGATAACGATGATGGTAAGCATGTTTGTGAAACTCGTGCATGTTCCTTCCCTGTTACATTTGCGTAGAGTATGCACATGTTGCCCATGTGCATGATTGGCATACCCAGCAACAAGCAGTTATTCAATACACAGGTTACGTTCTTCACCCGAATACAACGTACGGTGATTATAGCTGTATTTGGGGTATTTTTCCGTCTAAATACAGAATAATGACCGTACGTTGTATTCGTGTGAAGAAGGTAGTCTTTTCTGGTGCCAGTTGCTAGCAGTAGAGGACACCCCAAAGTTAGTGGTCACAACGTTAGTGGTAGTAGTAGCAGAAGGAGAGCAGAGAGGGGAGAAAGCAGAGGAGAAGTCACTGTTTGGTAATCAGTGGCAAGACCACTAGAGTCATAGAGCCAAATGGTGGCCCGACTCGATACCCTAGTAGTAGTGAACCATAGGATAGTATACCATGCAGGTTTGGAGCTAGTTAGTGTTGATGTCCCTCGTTAATTCTCTGTGCGATGGCATTCTATACCGCTGGGCTGGTTTGGGGTAGCAAGCTGCTGATGGAACTGCTGTCACAACGGCTAGATACCTGTGAGGGGGGGTTGTAGTGTTTCCATGGCCAGGTTTGATGCGTACATGGGATAGGACACTGGCAGAGCTCCAGCCTGACATGTCAGGAGAGAACCTATGTGCTTGGGCAGCAGTGGTTTGGGTAATAAAATGAGGGCTTTCGCTCACTGTCCGAATCTGTCTGCAAAGTGAAACCTGCACTAAATTGCTCGCGGCTTTGGAGCGTTGGACTGTTGAGGCCGTTGTTGACTTCGGCGTTCACTTTTTGGCCGTTTCGTTGTAGGGACGCTGCTTTCAACTTTGGCGTTCGCTTTTCGTTCGCGTTCACTTTTCGGCCGTTTCATTGTAGGGACGCTGCTTTCAACTTTGGCGTTCGCTTTTCGTTCAGTTAGTTAAAGGGAGAATCGATATGCATTCCTTGGTCTTCCGAAACCATTGGATGTGCATGTTAAATCGGTGTTAAGCGGTTGTGCATTTGCTTAAATGTGTGTTAAGCTGATGATTGTGTAGGCACTTACTACTTAACGACATAGATGTGCGAAAGGTTGCACTTGGGGTTGTGGTCCCCCTTATTACTTCTGGGCCCATTGAGTGGCAGGTGGAATGGGTTCTGTTCTTGTGATAAGCTTGTGACTCACATAAACATAACACGCACATCTCAACTTCCTTTGCTCATCCAGCTATATGTCTTTTCATGCAGTGAGCTGTTTTACTTTTACATGTTGCTGTTGTTTCTGTGGTACCTTACACACACCTCAACTTCCTTTGCTCTTCCAGATGAATGTCTTTTCATGCGGTGAGCTGTTTTACTTTTACATGGTACCATTGTTTGCTCGTGGTACCTTACGTCTCTGCAGTTGATGGTTTCAAATAGTTGCGGCACTATCTTACATCTGATCATCGTTGGACGTGCAGATGGCAGAGTACAGGATTTCTATATATGGAAGGAAGAGAAGCGAGTGGGACACGCTTGCCAATTGGATTGTCAACAATGAGTTGTACAGTGAAAATGTTGTGTGGCTGATTCAGGTATGAAAAGTGGATATACTTGCGGCATGCATTAACTCAAATTGTTTCGTGTGTTAGATCTTATACTGGCAGTGTCCTTTGGGACATCCGTTGAAATTGGAAACATACACAGAAGATTAGCATGGCACCTGGGCAAGGATGACACATACATTGAGAAGTGGTCCAGAATTGAAAAAGAAAGGAGGAAGGAAATAAAGAAGAAAGATCTTATAAGGGCATTAATCGTTTGCTGTAATGGGTCGTTCAGGTGTGGTGCTGAAATTTGGGCCCAAGCATTGTCAGCGAAGAATGCATCCATGCACTGAACGCGTAAGTTTTTCTGAATGTGAACACGTTTGTAGTGGAACTCTGCGCTCCTCCCGAACTACGCAGTAGTGATTGCTTCTCCACCCCTGAACACCCACAACCAGTTAATAGGGCTCACAAGTTCTTGGTGGAGGCAGCAACAGTAGGTGCTAATTGAAGTGTGTAGGGTTTTGTAATACACGATCATTTCAATGGCGGTGCTCTTTTGTTATTTGTTCGATTGATTCACAACTCGAAACCGCATTCAAATGATCCCATACACATCTGTAATGACAGGCAGACTGGAGAGAGCAGATTCACACCATAGCCATGGAGAGAGATTGCACAGCGGAAGCCGAAACCCGATATAAAAATTGAGAGAAAAATGTTTCAATCAATTATTTATGAAACCCCCTGCCTACCCGTGCTCAGTCGTCGCTGTGACACATGTGGTTCTATGTGGACGCTAATGTCCTTGTGAGCCTGCTTGCCCGCCAGCCGACTAGTCGAGATGATCCCCTCGTCATGCATATATTCTCTGCCTCTGTCTCGCCCCTCTGCCGTACTCTCGCTGCGTTCTTTACAGGGGATTTGGGGCAACAAAAGTAAAAAAAACGAAACAAGGCATGTCCTTTGTGCTGACATGGGCGGCCATAAATCCTGGCTCATGCTGACATCAGCAACAGTCAAACCCGTGATTTAAACTCCAAAAAAAAAAAAAAGGAAAAAAAAAAAGAAACCCCCCTGCTCTCCTCCTCTCAATCGAACAACTCCAAGAATCCCAACCACGATTTCAGTTCCACCTCCAATTAACTCCGAAGAATAAGTTCAAGTGAAACTTCCTCTTCTCCCTATGACCCCCAGCCTCTAACAATAGCCCAGTGTTCAAACAGCGTCCAACCGTGCCCCGAGCCTGTGCGTACAGGTGCTGGTCTGGCATGAGCCAGACATCAAGCAGCAGCGGCACAAACCACAGTGAAGAAGAAGATGAACCTCGATGAAGAAGGTAATAACCAGAGCGTCCGGTATGGCAGCAACGAGGAACAAGTGGGTTGATGAACAGCAGCGTCCTTCAACCCCAACAAACAGCAGCGTGATGGCAGTGGCATCAGCACCTGGAAGACCTACTACAGGTGCTGCCTCTTTGAGCAGCAGTGTGCTGCAGCTACGGCTGCCCAAGTTCCCCCTTCGAAGAGGAAGAAGACCGAGCGCTGGAAATAACGCAGCTCGCGTAACTCCTGTCGCCACTTCCAAAAAAAATGGAAATAACCCGAAACTAGATGGGCACAGGCTACTTCAACCCGACTCTCCTAGCCCTAAGACAGACCAAAAAGCCACTCCTATCTGACCGTCCAAACAGTCGAGCTCTACGGCCTATCAGGCTTCTAGAAAAAGCAGAAGAGGACCAAAAACCAAGGCTGAACGGCCTAAGACTGCTAAGTAGAGACTACTATCGACAGATCTAAGGATTGAGCCCAGTAGAGCTCAAAGCTATCTAACAACACATGCAAACTTCAGGTCACGGGATCAAGTCCCGCACGGCTCAAAACAAGAAAGAGCAGACATAGCCACACCTAGTTAGTATACAACCCCCCTGAAACCTGCAATTCAGCCTAAGACTGCTAAGTAGAGACTACTATCGACAGATCTAAGGATCGAGCCCAGTCATACTCCTCCAAGAGACCCATCTATCCAACCTGAACAGTCACCCAAAGATTAAACAGAGGATGGAGAGATCGTTAGGAGGATGTGCAGTCGCACTATGGTCCAACAGAGACGGGCACAGCAATAGAGGAACATCGATATTGATCCCAAAAACGTCCAAAATACTGACCGAAGGGCAGATCCTAAACAGCGAGGGTGATAGGGAGGAAGGGAGATGGTCATGGTTGGACATCAAGTGGCAAGGCGAGGAGCTGCGAATTCTCAACCTTTACGCACCAAACACGGAATCTGACAGACTGATTTTCTTCGAGAACATCAAATCCTCATCCCCAACCCACAGCCTGTGATCATCGCAGGGGACTGGAACACAACCCTGGACCCAAACCTGGATCGGATCTCAAGAACGATACTAATGGGACCCACAAGAGCGGGCACCCGGATTCGAAACCTGATGACTGATTTCGAACTCTGCGACCCCCTCAGGACACTGCACCCGGACAAGAATTTTTTTTCCCGGATAAGGAGGAACCAAGCCAACCGGACTTCACTGTCCAGGATTGACTACGTCCTCATATCCGAGAGCCTACTCGGAACAGTTAAAGAGGCCGAAATCCTCCCATCAGCAGCCTTCAAAGGACTGGATCACAAACCCATCCAGATGCTGCTCAACTTCAACGTACCAGTTCAAACAGGCCAAAAAACTGGCCATCAATAAACAGCGAGAGTCAAGAAGGACATACAGCCACCAATGGTTTATTGACAGCTACACAGAATTAACACGGGCAGTCTCAGCGGAATCAAGAGACATTGCAAGAGACCGAAAAAGAAGAAGGGAAGAACTCCAATTCGCGATGGCCGTCGCAGAAGAAAATCTAGCGGAGGACCCAACCAGCAGTTTCTACCACGAACCACTGGACGACACCAAAAAAGAACTAGACGAATGGAGGAGATGGGAACTTAGAGGTCTACAAATACGTGCGAGGATGACAGACTATGCTCTTAACGAGTCTATGTCAAAATTATTTTTCTCCAAAATAAAGGCGAATGCTAGGAACAACATGATAGAGGCACTCAAAGACCCATCGGATGCAGGAAGTACAAAAACCACAGGCCCTGAGATGGTAGGGATAGCCAGATCCTTTTATGCAGATCTTTACAAATCCAAGACCCCCTCACCCCCGACTACAGCGAACCTAGCAGCCCGCCAACTGATGCTATCGTACCTCGACAGAACCATCTCGTCTAGCCAGGCGGAAGGCATGGAGGAACCACTGACCCTGGCCGAACTACACACAGCCTTGAACTTGATGGGAAATGACAAAGTCCCGGGCATCGACGGCCTCTCTAAGGAATTTTGGAGCTGCTTCTGGCCGACCTTGGGAGAGGACCTACTCGAATTTTTCAACAAGAGCATGCGCAAAGGAGGCCTAGGAAAGGAACTGAGTACCAGCGTGGTTTCACTGTTGTACAAAAAGGGTGACAAAGAAGACCTGAAAAACTACAGACCTATCTCCGTACTAACCACGCCGTACAAAATCCTAGCCAAGGCGCTAGCGAACAGAATCACAAAACTAACGAACAGCTGCTTTCACATCGATCAAGCAGGCTTCATCCCAGGTCGTTACATATTGGACAACGTGATGACTCTGAATGAGGCAGCAAAATAGATCACGGAGAGACGAATGAAGGCAGCAATCCTATTCTTCGACTTCGAGAAGGCCTACGACCAAGTGAACTGGGATTTTCTCCACGCATGCATGGAAAAAATGGGAGTAGGCCCGAATTTAGAAGTTGGGTAAGAATCCTGTACGCAGACGCGACAGGAAGAGTCCAGGTCAATAGAATCCTATTACCCAATCTCACGATCAGTCAGACAAGGTGACCCACTGGCCCCCCCCATCTTTCTCTTCATAATGGAAGCCATAGCCTCATTTCTCCGCAAAGACCCATCCATTGACCGCCTCACAGAACGTAACTTCAACCCGTTACAGGACTTCGCCCTACCCACTGCACTCATGTTCGCTGACGACCTTACGGTACTCATTAGAGCAAACAACAGCTCCCTCCAATCACTGGTAAGGGCAATGGAAGCATTTAGACTCGCATCAGAAATGAGAGTCAATTGGAATAAAACCGAAGGATGGTGGCTAGCAGACGACACCTCTCCCCAACCCCCGGACACAACCACACCCATGACCTGGACCACGGGAGAGCAAGCACTACGTTTCCTGGGCATCATGATCAACAAAGGAGTGTGGCCGGGAATGGGTCAGAACCTAATAGCAAGAGCAATCACTCACCTGGCCCAGTGCAAAAACGCCGAGGCCTCACTAATCGGACGGGCACTACTGATCAACACAGCGATCTTCTCCACACTGTGGTATATGGCATCAATATGGTCCCCCCCCGACGACGACCTCAAGGAGCTCAAGAACAGGGTAAGGTGCTACCTGTGGACAGGTGACCCCAACACGACCACCTGCATCAACAGGGTCGCATGGAACCACATCACTAGGAAGCCACAGGAAGGGGGCCTCGGGATAATTGACCCAAAACAGGAATCCATAGCACTGCAGATGAAATGGATAATCAAGATTCTCACCAGACAGTTCCTCCCGTGGACCCAAATGGCGCTGGACAGCATCAGAAACCTAGCTCCCGTCATCTCCCCTCGAAACATGAACGGCCTGTTCTGGCTGATGGCAAAGCACCGGACAATCAAGTCCGGCAAAACACGCAGAAGAAACCCCGCACAGCACAATCCTGCACARCTCAACACACACCCAACTCATGCAGTCAGTAAATATTGGAGCCCTACCATYAAGGCCTGSCGCAAAATGATGCCGAGCAAGCAYGGGGCMCCAGGAAACAGAGAAGMAGTCCTGAGACAACCGCTTTTCTGCAATCCCTGGATCACTGACCCCAGCGGTACAGCCTGGACCCTACGCTCTCGGGACCGCAGATGGTTATCATGGGTAGAAAAAGGAGTATGGCAGGTCAAGCACATCT